CCCAGCTTTTTTGGCATGATGAGAACTGAATCTTCAGCTTATAATTTTGCACACTTTAAAGTTGAAGAGTTTGCCACAGACGTGCTTCTGACTTGGTACATGCCAAGCCTTGTTTCTCTTCTACTGTCCAGGAACTTCCGACGACAGTGACACAACTTCTATTCCTATACCTCCTTGTCATGCTGGGCACGTTGGCTCAGTGGGTGGAGGGAAAAGTCCTGGAAGCCATTTCTACACTGGAACGATTAACAATAACCTCACTACACATGGAAGTGGCTGCAAATAAGTATGTTCTGTTGCATGACCACTCCCCACCTCCAAAAGGAGGGATAGTCTGTGTGGAAACACACGGTAGTGCCAATTGCAGGTAAAACATCTTAACTTTTCAAACTGGATGGAAAGCACATGAGCACAGAACACATTGTTAGTGTCCCTTCCCAGGCCTTGCAAGTGAGGGGTCCTGAAACTTAGCTTCACTCACTTCGCAGCAAATCTGTGAAGTTCTCTGATGGGAAACCGATGAAAGGGTTAAGACGTGCTCTGAATTATGTACTAGGATCACTCTAGCAGTCAAGGGGAGGTGGGCTGGAGGGGGACAAGTGTGGGAGGCCACCACAGAAGCCCAGGGAAGGGATGACAGTGACGACCTGCACCGGAACCGTGGCCCTGGAGCTGTGTGACTTGGCAGTTACTCACCTTTGCTGAGCTTTAGTTTTCTCAACTACATCACAGAGAGTTGCCCCTAAGTCACAGAGCACATGATGGGCCCCCGATAACTGAGTGCTATAATTATGTTTTGTTCTGCTCTGTTGTAGAGAGAAACAGGGTTTTTTTAAGGCTGCAATTTTTTTATTTTTTTTTAAATATCAGGCATTTATTTATTTACTTAAATCCTCTCTCAAGGATATTTTTTCAATTGCTTTTCAGAGAAAGTGGAAGGGAGAAAGAGAAACATCGATGCAAGACATCGATTGCCTCCTGCATGTGCCCCAACCAGGGTTGGGGATAGAGGCTGCAGCTGAGGTATGTGCCCTTGGCCAGAAATGAACCCAGGACCCTTCAGTCCAAGGGCCGACACTCTAACCACTAAGCCAAACCAGCCAGGGCTGCAAAATTCTTTAGAAAAGCAATGAGAAGAAAAATAATAATTCTCCTTCAAGGCTATTTTTAAGTAGTTTATCTGTACTTTTGCCAAAGTCCACCAGTACGCTTATTCAGCATCTGGACGGAGCCAGTGAGGTATAACAGTGGCTAACTCTGGACGAGATAGGGTAAGCGATTTTTATTTAATTTATTGTGTATTTTCCAATGTGAACATGGACTGCTTTTGTGACCAGAAAAAGTCAGTTATTAGATTGTTCAGGACTCAGAAGCCAGTTCACCCTGGATTCTCCCATTGCTGATAGGGGAAAGTTCTGCAGACAAAGAATTTCTCAGAGAATGTTATCATATAAGGCTCTTGGGTACGAAATCAGAGACGTGGCCTTCCTTAGTGTTGGGCATAAAGGAACTTAGAGAACAGGTTCTTCCTGACAAGAGAAAAGGAAGTGAAAATCCTCTCCAACTGCAAGACCTACTTCAATGAAAACCAACAAATTCAAATACATTTACTCCAACAGTAAATCCAGTTCTCAGTTTTATGAAATGTCATAGGGTAAAATAGAGAAAAGTGGACTCCTTGTAAATCTGTATTGACAATATGAATGTATGATATAAAGATGGATTAAAAATACGGCAAGGTATGACCCAGCAATTCCAATTCTAGGTATATACCCAAGAGGAATGAAAACAACCCTAATGTTCATCCACTGATGAGTAAACAAATGTGATATAGCCGGACAGAGGAGTATTATTCAGTAATAAAAAAAAGGAATATTTATTCAGTAATCAAAAAAATGCGTTCATGCTGTTATTTCTTTCATCTAGTAAACAAAGAAACGAATGACCGATCCATGCTGCAACATAGAAGAACTTTGAACACATTACACTCCCTGAGAGAAGCTAATTCATATAGAATGCCCAGTACAGGCAAGTTGCAAAGACAGAACATAGATTAGTGGTTTCCTAGGGCTGGGGGAGTCTCGGGGGTGATGGCAAAGTGTTGCAGGACTTCTTTTTAGGGTGATGAAAACGTTCCAAGATTATGGTGATGGATGGGTGCAGAATTTAAATGGGTGAATGTATGGTATATGAATGATATCTCAATAAAGCTGTTACCAAAAATATATATATAAATAAACCAAAAAAGGTAAATAACTACCTTATTTCATGTAATTCTGAATTTGTTCAGGAATGGGCAATTCTTAAGTAATCTGAACAATGAAATAAAATTTGCATGGTTAATTTAAATGCTACCTTTTAAAAATAGATACCAATTATATTTTTTAAACTGTGCATGATAAAGGTGATGAAACCACAAATTTACTAGCAGAATATTTATGTACTTTGGCATGGGAAGTATCATTATATGCATTACACTAATAAGAACTGTAAACGATCGCTAGCTTTGCCTACATAAGCACACACAAAACCCTCAGTATATGAGCATTAAAGACAAAAATGCAAATGCTAACATGGGAAAACATTTGTAACACAGGTGACAAAGCTCATACATGAACTTTTTAAAAAGTGCTCTGATAGAAAATCAGGCAAGGAAGATGGACAAACAGTGTACAAAAGAATACAGCTGAGCAGCATCTGGAAATTTTAAAAAAGCATTTGACATGGTTTCACTCATTTGTGCAACGTTGCTTAAGAGTTCTTCCTCCGACCAGCTGTATTAGTCTCCACCTGGTCTCAGGCCAAAACAGTAACAAGAGACATTAGGAAATTTTAAAAGTACTTTATCGTGTCCACTTACTGTCTTCTTAGTGTTTGTTCTCCTTTTGCTCTCTTTTGTGCCACATTTTTGTGCTTGCTTTTGTTTTCACTTTTTAACATGCCCCTAAGTACAGTGCAGGAAGGCTGAGATGTGCCCTACGAATAAAATACATGTTAGGTAACTTCATTTAGCCATATAGAGTGCTCTTGGCCAGAAGTTCAATATTAATTACCAAAGTATTTTAAATGAGATGTTTTTAAACAGAAACACTTAGAACAAGGTTATGCATTGATCAGTTGATGAGTGTTGCGACCAGAGGCTCAAAGGAACCTAGCCCTGTACTTCCCCTGGGAGCAATGCCTGGCATTTGCTAACTGTGTTCACGGTAACCTCATAGAACATAGCTACCTGAATAATGAAAGTAAGCTGTACAGAGTGAAAGGAAAATTTAGATTAAAAAGCACTATGTCAAAGGGGCTTGGAAATACCTTGGCCTGAACACCATGGAAGACTGCAAGGAACTGCTGCTCCTTGGAGCCCTTGAGGGAGGAGTCAGCTGGAAGGGCTCAGCTATGGTTTGGTCCCATCCCTGCCTGTCTGTTACTCATGGTGGGGGGAGGGGAGGTTTGAAGAAATGCTAATGCCAGGGTCCCATCCCAGAGGTTGATTTGATTGTTGGGGAGCACACCCTGTGTAGAGATTTAAAATCTCTCGAGCTGATTCTAATCTGCAGCAAATCGAGTCTCAAATCTTAGTGCAGAGCTTGATAAAACAGATGGCTGGGCTCCATCTGTTCTTATTCGGTGGATCTGGGATGGGACGCCAGAATTTGCAGGACTAGCCAATTACCAGGCCATGCTGGAGGTGGATGCGCTGCTCCACAGCACTGCTACCAGAGCGACAGACAGCAACCTCAGGTTGGACAGAGCTCGGCAGTGGAGCTCCCTGCAGCCAAGACTGGTCCCACTTTTCCGGAGGCCTTAACCTCCTGCACAACACTTCCCACGTGCCTGTGTGGGCCTGTTCTAGCGGCAGGGTCCTCAACATTCTTTCCTCACACCCACACAATTCTGGCTTGGCTCAGCCCACAGGTTCATTCTCAAACCAATCCCCGGACACAGAGACAGGTCACCTGGTGAGCCTGAGGGATGTGCCCACCTGGAGTAGAGGGACAGAAAACCAGACTGTAAAAACCATAGCTAAGAGGAAGATAAACTCGAGATAGTTATCTCTTGGGGGGTAGAGAGAAATGAGATCTGAAAGGGACACACAGGGGCTTCAAAAGTACTGATTAAGTTGTTCCTGAGAATGGGTAGTGGGTACAGGGCTTTCACATTAATTGGGCCTTTCACGTCTGTGTGATCTGTGTATAAATGTATGTTTATAAATGCACCCCCACACAATTTTAAGTCCAGTAGGAAGATCCATCATCATCAAAGGCTGGCAACACCTAGAGGAGTGTGATTCTCCCTTCACTGGATGGGCCTCACCTGACATTCCCATCAGAGGCCTAGGGCCATGGGTTCCCCAAGATGGTAGGGGACACAGCAACAGAAACCTTCAGGGCACAATTCCCATCCTTCCCTCCTTATAATACTCACATTTCTGTCAATTTTAACAACCTGTGTAAATGTAACTGCAAGGGCTGCCACAGTACACCAAAGCATGAAAGACCACAGACCTATCAATCCTGGCATCTAACAATTACTGCTATGACAATTTTTTCTTCAACACTTCCATTCTTTCCAAGTTTTATTCCAAAAAAGGGGGAGGGGGTATTAAAGGTCCATGAAGAGCAATCATCATTCAACTGGACAGAATAATCAAGGGCCCAATCAGATGGTACCATCCTACTTTCCCACATCCAGGCTGAAAAAGGCCAACGCGTTCCCAACATGGAAGAGGACAGCTTTCCCACTGCCAGGGGGCCCCGAGAGTTATAAATGCCCCAATTTTGCCTTCTATTTGTCTTTTTCTTTTTGTTCTTTCTCCTTCTTCTCCCGCTCAGCCTTAGCTTCTTCTTCCTCATGCTTTTTGATCAACTGCTCCACTTCCTTCTGCTTGAGAACTCTGATGACCGTCTTCCCATTCTCTCTTGTTAGGGTGGCAATTTCCACTAAAAGCAAACACACATGTGTTACGGGCAGGCACATCTGCAAACTGAATGGCAATCGCAGCTCAGCTGCGTCCCCACATTTCGGCCTTCACGCACCACTCTTCCACGCTTCATGCTCAATACAATTCATGGATACTTTCATGGGAACAAAACACCTTCAATTTTGTAATACTTTTATTAACGTTTTTACTTAAGTATCTTTCTTCTCACCCATTCCAACCTTATGAGCCACCGTTTTGTCACTTTCTTGGAAAAAGTAAAGTCAGCCAATTGCTCGAGCTAAACTTCCATTGGCTGTGCTGACCAGAAGGAACTGCAATTTCCTTGTTGGAACCTCTGAAGGCTCAGGCAGAATCTTTAATGAGTAATTACACTAACTTTTCATGGACTTTTCAAACCTCTTTTCAAAACAAAGGCATGAAAAGCAGGTTCCATGATTATGGACAAGAAAAGTAGACTTATTTCAAAAGAAGGAATTTTTTGAGTAGGGAGAAACTGAGTAGAAATTGAAAACAAGCAGTATAACAGAGGGCAATGTGTACATAAACGGCATCTTCTAAGGAGGACCAGGAGTGACATTATCCTAAACTAAATCAGTATGTTAATTTACAACTTTTAAAAAACATTATTTAGAAATATTTTATTTGGTTACGTAACTTAAGCTAAATAAAGCATTTAAAATTGTAAACATGGGCTTAGCATATGAGATCAGTAGACTGAGAAGAACAGAGAGATACCACAACACATGCACATGTTGTATCTCTGGTAAACTACACAATACATACATATAAATAACTACATATATGTTCATATGTATACATGAACGTAGACATCACTGTCAAGAAGCTGGTAAGATAATTATCAATTGAAAGTAGCACTGTTCAGATCTCCAACTCCGACCAGTGAGTACATTCAAGCTCAAGTCCTTAAGCTTGAAACACCATGTGGGCTTATGGCTCAACAACTTATTGCTGCTGACCTTCGTCAAGTCACTTAACCTCACCAAGCCCTAGTGTCCTTATTTAGGAAATAGGTATAAGGCCACCTAACTCACAAGGTTGCAGTTTCAGTGAACAGATGTTAAAAGCCTAACACAGTAGCTGCTCAATTAATTCCCTCACGAAAGCGCACAAATTAGAGGGAACATAAATTACCTTTTTCGGCAGAGAGTTTGCTAACATCCATGGTTTTATTGAGGACTTTGATGGCTAAAGCAAGTGCTGACTTCAGTGTCATTTCTCCTTCTTTGTAGTCTTGTTTTAACATGGACACGGCTGCCTATGAAACAAAAAAAATAAAGAGAATTTCCTTTAAATTTTTGCATTTTTTAGGAATATAAACTGGACAGAAACATAGTGCCTGGGTTATTATTGGCATATAACCCATACAAACAACTTTGATGTTAGGGACGGAAGACATGGGATAGGGTAGAGGTGGGGGGTGTTGATGCTCTGTGAATGGAGTCTTTAACCTGGGGCCTCAGACCTCCAAGGATCCGTGATAGAATTCAGGGGGGGCTTTGTGAATCAGGATGCAAAAAAATTACATTTTATTTTCACCATTTCTCATTGAAAATTAGCGTTTCCTTTATTACAAATGTAGGCAATTTACCCCAATAGCATTAGCAGAACCTGCGACTTCATTACCAGTAACAATCACAGATATTAAGGCTATCTTAAAATACTGTTGCAGCTATCTTAAAATACTGTTTGCACTCTTCACTATTTCAAAATTATGGTAGTTAGACCTGCTAGATTTTATAGCAACACAAAAATACTCACGGCGCTATTATTTCCAATGCACGTGGCTTTCCATCCCCCATAATTTCCACTAGGATCACTCTGATAAAGCTGAAAGCCATAGTGCTTATCCCAGCCGATGTACAGCAATGAAACACCAAAGGGACGTTTTCCTTTGACAGAGACAAAAAGTCAAGCGTATCAACAATCTAATTTAGTATTGCTATAGTTACCTGAGCTCACTGAATGTAGCTGAAACCCTTCTCTGTGAAGCTAAGCATTCATAAACTGCTTTATGTTCCACCAAAATGTCCACTTTTGTTTCAAGGATTTGGACACAGCCTTGTTTCTGGGATTTGGGCACAGCCAGGAGACAGAATAGACACAGAAGATCATGGTGAATTTCATTATTATGTAAAAAGCAATTTGTTTCCAGATTTGAAAATGTTATTTTGGTCTCTCAATAGTCTATTAATAAAACATGATAATCTACATCATGGAAGTCAGTTATTTCATGAAGCAGAAATGTACAAAAAGTATTTACTTACTGATTTAATTTTCAATTTCTTTTTAGCATCTCAAAATTATCATTACTCAGAGAATATTTTCACTTTCTGGAATAAAATTTGCCCAAAATCCCATACCTCCAAACTGTGTATAAGCTTGTTTGATATCACACAGAGCTGTAACCAACTGCTCACAAGGAATTGGCTCCTGGTACTGTAATAAATACCTAGGATGAAGAAATTGGCATATTAGTATCTTTTTCTAAAACACATATGTATTCTAAATAAAATACTCTCTGAAAAGAAAGCTATGCCATGGGACAACACAATAGTCGCTTGTAATTTGAAAGGGGAGGAGGGAGCAGGAGAATGTCAACATCCTAATATTTTTATGATAAATAACATTGTACAAGTTTGGATTAAAAAAGAAAATAATTTTCAATTAACAGATTTGTAAAGACCTCAATCTTTGCAAAACTGAGTTCTCCTTAGAAACTTCAAACTAATTTATATATCATCAGTTATGCTCTTTATGACCATACCTTTGAGCAATGAGTCTCAGTTCATTAGTCAGAACATTGGCGTCAGAAGTAATGCCAGCCACACTGCAAGCCATGTCCCTGGAGGAAAAGGAACATATTGATGCATAAGCCTGGAAGACGATTTAAAGGGTCCTTTACAAAGTATTACAAAGTGCCAAGTTCTATTAGTTTACCATGCTTCCTTCAAAGGCTACAGACGTTTTGTCTGAATAGAAATTTTATCTTGTAGGATAAACCGGACATCAGTTAACATAAAAGATAAACAGTGCCCCCCTTCAGTGCTTCAATAGGTGTATTTATCACTACCCCACAGTGAATAGGGCGAGAGAATGAATACTAGGAAGCTAAAGGAAATCCCGAGAAGATTCAGAAACAGGTTTTGCTAGACATGAAGCAAGACTACCCTATGATCTTGGGTAGTAAAGATTCTCACCTCCTAAGGCCTGGCTTGATGGGGGTAAAGTGAGGGGACTCAGGGCTAGGCTCCAACAAAGGGTGCATTTCCTTTCTTTGCCCCCATTCTCTAAGGGCTGCCCCAACTCCCCTATAGCTGACACCCTCTGTCACTATGCCTAGGCAAGCCTGCAAGCTTTCGAGTGGGGCCAGCAGTGACTCTGTGGAGGGATGACACATCCTTGGACAAGTGTATCAAAAGCCCTATAACCAGCATTCACTTGGCCCAAGACTCAGGGGAAAGACTCTCATGGGCAAATCCAGCTCTCTGATAGCTAGGGAATCCGGCACACTCAACTACTGGAAACTAACAGGGCTCATCTAAACGGTTCCCAGACCTCCAGGAGGTAGGATTCAGTATACTTCAACAAAATTCCTGGGTAGCCATTCTGAACAATACTTTTGAGGACCTGCTACATGTCAGACACTGTGCTAGTGGATTTCACTCATTTTATTCTATTTCATTAAACTCCCACCACTCTAGGAAGCACTAAGGCCCAGAGAAGTTACACAATTGGTGCAAGGTCACACAGCCTGTATCAGTAGCGTGTAGACTTAACCCAAATCTGTGTGACTATCATGCCTACAACTTTAGCAATACCAAATACTATTTCTCCACTAAGTGCCTGGCCCTGCACTTAAAAAAAGGAGTAACACATAGTCCTAAGGCTCAAGGAGGTTTCAAATACAATAAAAATTAAAAATTTCCACAAGTAAAAACACAATAAACTCTTCACTTCAATCTTACTATGTCACATGGAAGAGCCCTCCCAAAATATGACAGATCCTACTTATGTGAGCACAAGATATTTAAACTCTTTTCCCCAAGAGATCACTTACTCATTGAGTTTATAAATTTTTTCGGAAAAAAAGACTTCATCAAGAAGCTTGTGGATGTTGCGTCGCTCTGCTGCAAGCAAAACACCATCGTTTGCTAAAATTCCCAGACAGGTGCCTGCATGTCCAATCGCCTCCATGGCATATTCAACTTGGTACAAGCGACCTGCAAAACACAAACAGTGAGACATCCCCTCTGGGTGTTTGCACCACAGGTCCAAGAAAATAAGCAGGGACATGGACAGGCTACACACAAGAGCACCACTTTCATTCTCCCATGTGGCATGTTACAACCCGGTGACCATTATTACCTCAAAGCACAAAGAGAATGAACCACTATAAAAAAAGCTTGCCAGATTTTCACCCCCCAAAATGTCAAACACTTAAAAAAAAATTTGAGACGAATTAGATAATTTCTATTTTACCTTCTGGAGAAAATATAGTGGTCCTGGAGTCATATCTTCGAGACTACAAAGGAAAAACACACAAGTCATTCCTATTCACTGAAAGTAACTCCTGCAAGCCCACCAATCACCTTATAAAAAATCCTGGCACACAAAGTCCAGGGTGTAGGAGGGAACTGATAAGGTGGGAGACACCATTCCACCTCCTTTTCCTCCCACTCCAATTCTCTCATGCAAGTCTGTAAGCTGAGTACAAGCAATACACCATCAGGCAATAGCTTACTGACAGGTGTATAACTTACCATGTTTTCTGAACTTTATAGCTCCTGTAAAAAGAAAATAGGACACTTATTAAAATGAAATTTACAATTTAAATAGCATTTCCATGACTTAACAAATATTTCGTTCACTCCCTTCATTCAGTGAGGTTACAGTCTGGTGGTCAGGTGAGGGAGGCAGACACAGACGATTACAAAAGCATTGTGGACATTGAGGCACCAAGGATGGAGTGGGAAGAGGGATGAAGAAAATCAAGAAAGCACTTTTGTGAAAAACCAAAACAGACAATGAGCCCAAATTAGAGATGGTAGATGCAAGAGGAGAACCTTTAGGTCTAAGAGCACGAATTGGGGAAGAAGAGGGGGAGTCCAGGCAGAGGAAAACAGTTTGAGCAAAGGACACTGAGAGATGGTAGATGCAGGTCTAAGAGCACGAATTAGGGAAGAAGAGGGGGAGTCCAGGCAGAGGAAAACAGTTTGAGCAAAGAACACTGAGGCAGGGCAGCTCATGGGCAAGAGACAAACTGCTCAAGCTAAAAAACAAGAACATGAAGAAGCTAGAAAGCTAAGCGAGTGTCCCTTCCGATCACGTAGAGTCTAGAATGGAGCGTTAAGAGGGTCAGGATGGGCCCTGCACTGTGGAAGGCGGCGGGGCGGCAATCTCTGCACCATCACCTCTATTCCAGCAAAAGACGCGTCGGGGCTCAGCGTGATTCAGGGCAAAAGCTAGACCTCAGGCTCCAAAGGCCAGATCCCGAAATCGAAACACCAGGCATTACGTCTGAGGGGCGCGCGCGCCCAGATAAGAACCGTGAGTTTTCTGTGTTAGGCAAAAGGGGCTCCAGTGGGTGATGGTGGGCTGGGGGCCTCAGGGCCTGCCTGGCACTGACGGAGGCGGGGACCAGGGACAAGGCCGCCGGGCTCGCTCTCACCCCCAGCCCCACGCCGGGGCCCGCCGCACCCCTGGGCGCTCACTTGGCTAAGTGCGGCTCTTCCCCGGAAAGAAGCCGCGCTCCTCGGTGTCGCCCCCGCCGCCCCCCGGTCCCAGCCCCGCGTGTCGGTTCCGCACCGGGCCGACGGCGGCCGGCAGGGGCCAGCCCGTCACCCAGGAGCAGCGCACAGTCATCGCGCTGTAGCGGCTCCAGGCGGAACGGCTCTGCCGCGGCGCCCACGGCCCTCGCCCGCCCACACGTCCGCCCTCGGGGCTGGCGACCAAGCTTCGGCGGTGCCGGGAAACACGGACTCACCGGAGAAAAGACGCTAGAGTTGAGGTCTTCGCGGAGAGTTCCACCCCACGAGAGGAAACCACCAGATACCCAAGCGTCCGCTGCCAATATGGCCCCCACGCGTGCGCAGAGCCACCGGGGGCGGGGCTGAGGACGCGGAAGTCCTGCAGGGGCGGGGCCGAGGACCCGGAAGTCCTGAGGGGGCGGAGATGCCGCCGGGTGGAAGCGGAGATGCTGCCCGGTGGGAGGGGAAAGACGGGGTGCAGCGGCGCTGGCGGGGTCCTCAGCCTGAGGACTGGGCTCCATACAGTGCGGGGAGCGCAGGAAGACCCCAGCGAAGGAGAGTGTGGAGTTAACAGCTCATCCTCTGCACTTTCACACTGTGTTCACTTTCCCTTCAGCACTGTCACCTGGGACGGCACCAGTGTGGACCCCAAACCTTGCTCACTGCTCCTTAGTCTCCTCCTCTACCTTTCACCTCGTCAGACCGAGTCTCCGCCAACCTAAAGCGATACGAACCATCACCACACAAACAGCATTTCTCTTCTTTACCGAAACTCATTTTTTTTTTAATGTGTTCATCATCCATCGCTCCTTTCTAGCTTCATTCTCTATGTGAACTATCTACTATTCGTGTTTTAAGTGTTTTGGGAGGTTAGAAGGCTGACGAGGTCTGAAATAGACCTTGAGGGACTGTCTGATTCAATATATCATTCTGCGTGTTTCATACACAAGGCCAAGACCCAGAGAAAACCGTGACTGTTCACGTGGAATTTTAGTTTAAAATATCGTCATGAGGTTTGAAGGCCTTAGTGGCTTCACATGCTTGGATGTGTTCCATCAGTTCATTTTTTAAAAAATATATCTTTTTTGGTGTCAGAGAGAGGGAGAGAGAGAAACATCAATGATGAGAGTCATGGATCGGCTGCCTCCTGCTCGCCCCCTGCTGGGGATCGAGGAGCCAGCAACCCGGGCCTGTGCCCTGACAGGGAATCCAACCAGATCTCCTGGATCCTAAGTCGATGCTCAACCGCTGAGCCACGCAGGCTGGGCCCATCAGTTCATTTTAAACTGTGCAGGAAAACCCTTCATAGACATATTTGTTCCTATTGGGTTAACGACCCAAGTTCATATGGACTTTTATCCAACTCACATGGAGATCCCAGATTCGTAGGACTTGGCGGTGTTAAACCAGATTTCTTCTACAGCCTTCCGGCCCATGTCAAACATTTGCTGTAAGTGCTTCCACCCAGTTTTTGCAGTAATCATGAGGTATTCTTCGTTCTCTGGGTGTAGCTGGCAAGAGTATGTAGCCATGACAAGGGACTGACAAAAACGACTGCACACAAGCAGAAACAAAGCACCCCTCTCCACAGGTGTGAGTGGGATTATACTTTCAAACCCTGCAAGGACATGACCACCTACTTGTATAGGATCCTTGCTTTCAATCATCATGTACATGATGGTGATGGCCACTTCAAACACATAGTAGCCATAGCTCATGTCATCAAAGTCTAAAATCCCAGACACCTGATAGACGGCATCTCCAAAGGCTGACTTGCTGGACTCTACTAAAATGTTATGGTCGTTAAGATCTCCGTGATTGATACCTGAAAGGAGAAAAGTCAAGCTATGCAAGAACAGTCATTTAACACCCCAGTTCGTTCTCTTTCCATTTTGCTTTTTCAGGCGTGGCCATTTGAATAATTTGATGAAGAGTTAGAGATAAAAAAAAAACAAAAAAAAACACCAAACCCTATTTTGCTTGAAGCAAAAGAATTTCCTCTGTAAAGGACAAAAGCAGCTAATTCTGGTGGTGTTTTCACTTTTGCTTCTCATTAGGACACGGTCAGCAGGAGGAGGGTGTAGTTGCTTCCAACACCCAATTTGGCTACCAGAGGAGTAAAGAGAAAAGGAGAACTGCCCCAGCCAGGAATGCAAAATATATATTCATATTATAAGAATCAAGTTGGACAGTTTAAATACCAAGGAAAATACTCATTTGACTGGGGGGATACTCACACTCTCGAAAATGACTTAAGTTGGTCATTACTTCATCCTTGAACAGCCGGATGACCTGTTCCACAAGCTCACGATTTCTATCCTGGCCCAAGGCATAGAGATATTTCTCCAGAAGAGGAACATTCTTCAGATTCCAGATGAAGTTCTCCCGACGCAGACAGCTTAACTCTGGGTGATGGAATTTCTAAACCAGAAGCAAGAAACTCTTAGACTCTTGGCAGTCACAGCAGCCACGACTGAGAGATCTGTGTTAAAAGACAGCACCCTGCGAGGGGCGGGCCTGGGGAGTGCCTTAGGGAGAAAGCTGGCAGTGCCCATTCACACACATCCACAAATGGGGGTCACTTCATGTACAGGCCCACAGCTCTGAGAGCACATTCCCATCTCACTTGTTCCTCTTAATTGTCCATAGACGGGTGTTCTCCCCACATGTTCTGCCTGGGCCCCTTGCTGCCTCTGCCTTCATCTTCTACTTCTGCTCACTCCCCTCCAGCCTTCCTGCAGGTCAGAGAACCATCCAGACACGTTCCCACCTCCACCCTTTGCATTCGCTGTTTTCTCCTCCTGTGATGCTCACCCAGGTATCCAAAGGGCTAGTGCCTCATTTCCACCAGGTCTTTAGGCAAGTCAGGGGTATGGGGTGAACATATGTGAATAAATGAAGATGCTTTGTAGGTGGGTCTGGGGATACTTGTCATACATGATATCGTTTCTAGAGGCAAAAACCTTAACACAAGTCATTTTAACCCACTCATTGCTTCATATAGAGCTCTGTCTGGCTACACCTTATCTGGATGAAAACTGCAGGTTTTAATTTGTGAATAAAGACTGTTTTCAGTGAGCAGCATAAACAATATCATGAATTTCTAAAAATGTAGGGAATCTTGCCAACATACCAGTAAAGTACAGACCAGGGCAGAAAGAAGCCTTTCTGTCATAAAGTCACATACCTGGGATCCTGTTTCCTTTATAACACTTCAGGAGGCACCGTATGTAAAAAGAGAGCCTGACACTGGACTTACTTTAGAAATGAAATAAATCAAACCCAGACAAATAAAAAATTCTCATAAACCAAAGGAAACACCAAATCTTACCTCCAGTGTCTTATCCAATTTGGCTGCGAGCCTTCCGATTTCATACGCTAGCTGCGGGCTGACGGGAATCTCAGCTATGGGTCTCCCTGGGAGGTAGGTCAGCAGCCTCACCAAGTAGCTCTTGATTTCGGAACCACCATCTAGATGAATGGAAAGATATATCCTGTCGAGTCATCTCGCAAAAAATCTGAGGTTATTCTGCCTTTATAATAGGACTTGGAGAAGACAAAAAACATGTGCTAACCTAAAACAACCAGCAGGATTCTCTGAGGCAGGGCTGAGAGGGGGGAGCAAGAAGGTGGCATAGATGAACCTCAGAACATGGGAATCAGCCATTTACCTACCACCAAAATTATAGCCCCAACTCTGCCAGCCTCCGCTCTACACACACGTTACCCACTCTGGTAAATGAATGCCGAAAAAGACTTTTCATAAGTTTACAATTGAGGAAAGAGTGATAGAAAGAAATGACTGTTTCAGAATCACAGGCTCTGCAGGAGCAAACCGAGGCACAGGCTGTTTGCAACACAGGACAATAACTACCCCTCAGGGACTGTAAAACCTCAGCTGCTCAGAGTAATGCACATTAAGAAAGAATGGGAAAGCCCTGGCCAGTGTTGCTCAGTGGTTAGAGCGTCACCCAGCACCAAAGGGTCGAGGGTTTGATTCTCAGTCAAGGGCATATACCTGGGTTGCAGGTTTGATCCCTGACCCTGGCCAGGTCTCGCATCAATGTTTCTCTCTCTGTCTCCCTCTCCCCTCCCTCCCACTCTCTCTAACAAATAAATAATTGATGGAAAAAATATCCTCAGGTGAAGATTAACAACAGCAAAAGACAGAATGCGAGAATAATTACGAGAGAAACAGTTAAAATTCGAAACCTTAAAAAATTCCTAGGAGTTGACTTTGGCCTGCTGTTTGGAGAACTCGATTAGGTACAACTTAACATTTTAGCATTGAGAAGTGAAAGGGATGAGTTGTCACAGATGAGGACTTGTGGCCTTAGGAATGTAAGTGATGTGCCCAAGTCACATAGACAGTAACAGCAGTGCTGGGATCTAAAATTCCTGATTTCTTGTTCTGCGTTTTTTTCTATTACACCACAGCACTAAAATATACAGCTGGTCTGATGAATAAAAGTATTTACTTTTAATTTTTCTGCTCAGAAACAAACAAACAACAAAAACATTCCCAATTTCCACATGTCTCCTCTTACTTATCCATCAGGTTACACCAAATCCTGGCTCTCACCACTTCTGAATGAGAGGCCCAACCACCCCTTTGGTGATGCTGTGGCTTCTCCCAACTGCTGAAAAATAACCGTGTCTCCACTTGGAATGACCAGCCTGTTCTTGATCTTTCTACTTGGAACCAAAATTCAGTAATGTACATGGACTGGTGTTGACTGGTGGGGTAGTGGTCTCTTACCTACAGACACAAGAGAGGTTAAGTTGTCTCCTTTGGTACGACACACAGAGGATGTTGGAAATCCAGCCTCTTGCAGGAACATGATGACGTGGGTCTGCACCTCAGTCAGGTCTGGGGTTTTGCTAGACTCAGTGTTGCTTATTTTGAAGACATACTCAGTTGGGCCATCTGTAGTGCCTTCAGTTCTTAAAATGCACACACAAAAGTTTTGGTCATCATAGCTAGGAAGTGGCTGGATCTTGGAAACTTTGAACCCATATACCGATTCCACTAGTGCACAGGCTTGCGCCTCGCTGAAAGCAGGTTTGGCAGAAGCCTGGGATCGCTGGTCATCTCCGCTTGACATTATGTCTAGGGAAAACAATCTAGAAAGGGGACATATAATGAATATGTTTATGTAAGTGAGTTTCCTTAAGACAGGCCAGTGTTTCTCAACATTGATTCTGTACTTCTGATTATTCATTTTCACTCATAAAGTTAAAAAATGAAATCAGTCAATAAGATAAAGTAGATGTTTTACAGGTGAATAAAAATCCTCATACCATAAATTATTTCTAAACCCATTTTGCAAAATGAAGGTATGTTTCCAGAGACAGAACGCAGGCCAAGAAAGCACTTTGGTATCACCTAGTCCAATGCCTCCCCTACCCCACCTCTATCAACTTTATTTATAGGGGAAATTTAGGTCTTGAGAAGTTAAGTGCCTTGCCCAAAAGTACAGACCAAGTCACAGCAAGAACTCAGCTCTCTAGATTTCTAATTCATGATGATGTTCTTTGGACTCTATTACTATTAGTTTGGGTTAAAATGTAATTTCAGATACAGTGACGCTACTTTTCTACCCACAAGTTTTGTTAAATTATAAGAATCATCTAGATTATCACACATACTTTCAAACATAAAAGTGTTGACTGATGTGAGATACTCTAGTATATATGAAGATGAGCTAAGAGAGCTGAAGAGTTAACTCATGGTCACAGATATCCTAAACGATAAACAACTTAAAAGCTGTTAAAACAAAACAAAACAAAACAAAAAAACAAACACCACCACCAAGTTATAAGGCAGTAAGTAATAAACTGATAGAACACTTGGTATATTTCCGGAATATATATATATGGCAAAGCTGGGCTTCTGGACATCCTTTTGGAACCAAATATTTAAGTTCCTTGCAATCTCACTTCCTTCTTTTCCCAAAAGTTTTTATTCCAACCTTTCCTTCATACTAAATTATAAATAATAACATCTTGGGGGCGGGTTGCACTTTAGGGTTATATAAAAATGAATCTCAGAAACAGTTAGCTCTTGATAGAAACGAGAACAGGTGTCGCTTCTGGCAGGGAGGTGGCAGCGAGGGAACTTTCTGGAAGGAAAATGTCCTATATCTCCACTAGGCTCTTTGGTTACACAGGTACACATTGGCCAAAACTTAGTTTAAAACTTAAGTAAGCATAAGATCTGTAAATCTCATTCCGTGTAAACTTGGCTCAGTGCTATTAAGAGCATAAACCCAACCGCCACTCCCCTCTGCATCCCCACCTTCCCTGATCCTCCTACCCAAAGTGATTCTCTGCCTCTAAACTTGCATAGCCCCTGTTCCCACCACCTGTTACAGTCACTGCATTCTTGCCAATCACTTCTCATGTGTACTTTCCGACCAGAGCAATCGCTTTCAGGAGCAAATTAAGTCGTTCAGATTTTGTTCATGAAAGATATTGTGACAAGGCCTGAATGGGGTTTCATAGCAATCTTTGCATCTGAAACTTCTGGGAACCAGTATATCCTGTCACACCGAATTTGGCCTTAAGACTTCACATGGAATTTTAACATTCCTTCTGGAGATTTATAAACTGGTGTAAGGCCAGTATTTAGAATGTAATGTGAACTAAAGCTTTAACTCCAAAATGAAATCCTGGAGTAATTTCTCAATTCCTAAAGTGTTAAGGGGGAAAAAAATGTTTAAATAACGTGTTAAGGAAGTCAGAATAATTCTGAATTTGTTATGAATTATGTCCTTAAAGTTGGAAGGAGCCTTACAGGCAATTGGTGAAGGCCAATCTCCCTTCCATTCTACAAAATGCTCCTATAACATCCTTGAACGGGGCTTGCTAAGCTTCCACTTAACAGTCTTGTTTTCTAAATCAGTGTAAAGCACTGTTGGCAGCTCCAGCCATCAAAAGACAGCCTGGTGTAATAAAAGTTGCTGTGCTAGTTAAATGTATTTTATCAAAATAGGAAAAAAAAATGGAGGAAACAGAGTTACTACACTGGGAGAAATAAAAGATATTTTAGTCCCCGCTCTACTACCTTATGAGGAGCTGGATTAAATCATCCCTAAAAGTCCCCTGTAGCTCTAACATTCTATGCTTGTAAAATTCTTTCTTTTTGAGCTTAAATTTGCATATTTTTGTTGTTGTTGTTGTTGTTTGCTTGTTTGTTTTTGCTGTGTATACAAAGACTCCAAGTCATGGAACTAATACAGATCAAGTGAGTTCCTGAAAGTAAATAAATGCAAAGAAAGGTGTTCAACCCAACGTCCAAATCCTACAGGCAGCTGGGCTGTGCTCCTCGCCCCAGGGTTTTCACTTCGCTCCTGAGAAAGTGCCCAGGAAGCATATGTTTTCCAGCTCCAAGCCTCAGGCCCGAACCCCCACAACCTTTGTTCTACAACCACGGGGCTGGACCTTAAACTCCGCACTGTGTGCAAGGGACACCGGACACATCCTTCCCTCTCCTTCACTCCAAAGTCCAGTGCATTCCGCCTCGGCTC